TTCTGAGGGCATTTATAATTGCTGTCAGTGCAATTCATTTAATTGAAGAAGGTCTAGGAAGCTTCACAGAGGGATCCTTTAAAAAGGTTTTTTTCTCTACAGATTCCCTCCCCGGAGTCTGGGGAAGAGAGAACTGAAAAAAAGTTAATTAATACCATTAAGTGTTTATCCAGCTAGTGCCAGAAGGCAAGGGACAGATCTGTCAGCTAGACTAGAAATGGCTGATCTACATGAGAGAAACCAGAATTGCCTTCTTTAACAGAAAACCCCTTACATTTAAAATGAAAAAGAATATATATATATATTTATATCCAAATCTACAAATAGATGCAAAAATAATCCCAGTCTTGCTATGCTTCTTTGAATTCAATTAAAAACCCAACAGACCAACCAAACCACAAAGATCTTCCTAAGAGACCTTCCTTGAAATTTAAAGATACTTTCTTCTGACAAAGGGAGGTGAAGTTCCTGGTTACAAGAAATTAACTCTGTTACCAGGAACAAAGAAACTAACTCTAAAAAAAATACAGGAGTAAATTAATTTTTTAGTCCATGTTGAAAAGCTATTTGTGGAACTCAGTGCATCCCTAATGTTACATCCTGGAGAAAAGGGTAAGTCTTCATAGGCAAGATTCTTCTTGGTTTAGAATGGAGTTCAGCTTTAAGGTCTATGTCATATACATTTGCAGAGTTGATTTGTTATAAGGTAAGAAATAACAAAAAGTTTTCCCTAATCTAAAATATAAAAAGAAGCCTAATGTTTAATTAGTGGTGTTTGCCAGATTGCCAGATGATCCCATAAAGTGACTGACAATAGTGTCTTTCAGGGCACAATGGATGTGATTTAGGAAGCAAAGGGGGAAAAAGCCCCACAAAAGGTCTGTGAAATAATAACCAAATGGACAGTTGAAGTTACCATGGCATTTAGTATAGTCTGTGATAGTTCTAGAAAATTCTCTAAAATTTCCATGAGCAGCAACTTTATCGTAGAGCTTTAGAGATATTTTATGTCTCGTGTGATCTGACTGCAAGATCTATGGAAAGTAAGAATTTTGATCTGCCTTCATAGGCATAAGTTTTCAAAATAATTTTTATTTGCTCATGCAACAATGTTGCTGAGGAAAGAATGGCCTACCAGTTTCTCTACTGAGTGAATTTGTTTTGAGGACATTGTATCTAGTCCAGACTGGTAGCAATGGCATTTATAACAGTGGGCAGAACTGCCAGGATGAGACAGATTCACCTATCCAATCACAGATGGTAGAAAATATGACTCACAGATGCTGCTGTGTGAGAGCTTGGCTTCAGGAAGGATTCAGAAGCACTAGCAAAAATGGATTTTATTAGCTACTGTTCATTTCTCCAAAAGCTGATTTACTGAATGCAAGAAGGAAAATGAAAAAGGAAAAAATAAGAAACTCTTAAAGAAGAATTATGTCTTTGATTGTGAGGAGCCTCAGTTGCTTGTGACTTTCTTTTGTCAGACAGAGAATTTGTTGGATTCACAATATCTGAGTCAAGACTCCTTCAGTGCATCTGGTGTTTCCCAAGGAGTGAATGTACTGAACTTAAGGAGTGCTGGTGGGTGGGAGTGATGGCTGGGGAGAGGGAAAGCTGGGCTTGCTGCGGGTGGAGGGGAGAAAGTAGCAAGCCTTTTGGAAATGCTGCTAGTAATATACCAGCAGCATTTCTCAGAGCAAATTTATGTTAGGACAAGCTGCTAATCACTGGCAGAAGTGAAAAATAATTGAAGTTCAATGTCTCGTTCTGAAAGCTAGCATTTTGGTGGAGAGCTCTGCTTCAGAGCTTTATTCCAGCAATGTTTTTGCCAGGGATAGACCAGCACTGCGACGGGTGTGTGAGGCAGCTCCAGGTGCCCTGCATTCAGCTGTCTCACCCTGCACACAACATCAGTACCCCGGTGTTTTACAGAGCTCATTACAGTAGTACAGGTCACTTTCTCGAGTTGCCTTATGGGCTTTCTTTTGCTTATCTTCCTCCTGGCTGTCTGGCAGAAGTAAGGGATGAATAATACCCACTGCCAGTGACAGCTGCTGTTAAATAACTCTCCCCTTCTGTCCAGAAAAGGGCCATTCACAGAGTAATGCAGGAAAAATTGCTCCAAGAGGTATCCAAGGAAGAGCTCCACTGTTTGCTGTATCTCTGCTTTTGTTTGTTCTAATAACTACCTGTCCAAAAAAAAGATTGCCAAACTTACATGTGCATATACTGTCAGTAGTGCAAGGTCAGGTATGAATGAAAGAAAGATGTACAAGAGCAAGGAGGAGGGGTTAGCAGTGTGATCATGAAGTGATTTATTTTGATCCTATGAGTGGTTTATCAGTATTACTGCTTTTAATAATATCTTTTCATTCTTTTGCTTCTGACATTGCTGTACTAGTTTAATTAATATTGCTAGGTGTTGGTAAATCTGCATCTGAAATGTTCACTTTTTTCATTAGAAAGATAAGATGTTTTGGGGGTTTTTTTCAAGGAATCTTTTGGGTTTAGGAGGGCAGAGGGAAACATTTCTGGCAGATGCTTTTCACATAGCTTTAATTTTCTCAAATGCTTATTTTTAGCTGGAGTTAATTGTCTTCATATCCTCTTGGGGTGTGGGGAGGGAAGAAGGGTAATAGGAACAGTAATTTTTCTAATCCTAAATTGTACCCAAGATAGGTGGGATGAATTGTCCTTTAAAGGCTTCTGTCCTTGCCCACTGGCTACTGAGAAAGGCTAGACATGTAATAGTTCAACAGCCAACTTCAGTAAAATAAACCACATCGGTTAAAAAGAAAGACCAACAAATATACGCCAATACAATAATTTCCCTAGCCATTTAAGAGAGAGGAAAAGAAATTTGAGTTGAGGTGTCTACATTTCATCTAAATCCAAATTCTCTTTGGACTTGACTCCCCATGATTTTTCTCTTCCATACCTCCACCCATACTAGGAGCAGCATTAGGTATTTTCACTCAAGACCTGTTTAGAGGCATTATAAGGGAGATTAAAAAATGCATGGGCTTTTTTTTACAGAGGATAACCTGACCTTTTTCAGCTTTGATTGTTTCTTGGTAAACAACTAAAAAGTTAGGCATAGTTCTGTTTTCCCAAAGAAGACAAGGGACCAAGCTGTGTATGAGAATCTTTGCTTAATATCTGCTTTCATTTTAGCTTAATAAGGAAACACATTTCAACAGTCTTTCTCCCCCTGCACATCCCACCAAGGCACCTTTCCCCTTGCAAAGTTCTCCTTGCCAAGCCTTCCAGCAGCAAGACGTACCACCATGAAAGTTACACCCTTCCCCTTCATCTTCCCTCTCCAGGCGTGCCTGTGCTATCTCTGATGAGATGGATGTACTGCTTCATTACTGCTGCAAACATGTGGAAAGCATAATTTTCCAGTCCTTTATCATGATGGTAGCTACATGGATTTAAATAAGTTGTCTCAGGAAATGAAAATAATGCATTGAGTTCTTTAACTCATTCTGATTGCTAGCTTAATCTACTCCTAATTATCTATAAAATAAACCAGCAGATTAACAAAAAGCAGTGCACAGTGTTGGAGAAACATCTTTCAAAATAAAGAATGTATCACATCAAGCAGTGTGAAAACCAGTTTCTTCTTACATTATTTAAAATTTCTAAGTTTCTTCTTACATTATTTAAAATTTTATTCCCATTTTATAATTTCCTTAAGCTTGATAAGAATTCAATGCAAATTCATTTTTTTTCTAGGCAGAAATAGTAACCTTGCTGTATTAGCTGTGGCTTCGTAATACATTTTCAAAATCCTTGCAATTTCATTAAATTGAACTGAAATAATCACAACTTTATTTAGCTTCTCAGGCTTAATATTTTTGAATATTTCATTTTGATTAAGCCAACTGTTTCTGAGAAACAAAACTTGGGAAAAAATATGTGTGTTTGTCCACCTTAAAGCAATTTGGCAATATCTGTTGACTGTTGGATGAGTGTTCATTAATAATAGAGGTACATATTAATCTAAAAACCGTGAACATGGGTTCAAAAGCACTGATATAAAGTTAATTTAAGCCTGATATTTCAACATGTTTACAACTTTGCAACTGAAATAACGTACTTGCAGTATATTTTTTGTGTTGCTATGCGTATTACATAGGGATTGCATGAAGCTATAGAAGACTGTAATACATGATTTGGCTTTGTTATTTTTATCAACACTCTTGGCTTTCTATTTTAAACCTAAAGTCCATGTAGAATTAAAAGCATATTTTACACTGGAAGTGCATTAAGGTCTCTGACCTTTGTAATATAGAAAAAATACATCATTCCTTTCTGCTCCTTGGGTAACAACGGCAAATGTTAAACACATAGACACACAAAAACTCCAAAATAAACTTATATTTTGATACCTTTTGAGTGTGTTTTCCACATCCGAGAAGGTTATGAAGAAGTGAGCACTGTAAATCTTAGTGAAAACTATCTCAACTCCTGCTTCTCTGAGAGGTGAGATGAACACTTTTCCACATTTGCATAAATAAACACAATAGTAAAACCCTAAAATATTTTTTTGTTGCTTTCCAGGAGTTAATATTAAACCTGGACTTCAATATCAATATTTAAGAGTCCTCCCAATTTCTTTTTAGAAATTATAAAACACTTTAGATACTTCTAATAATGATGAAATGAAATAATTTAATGAAATAAAATAATTTATGTATTCTTGCTTTCAACTTTCCATATTTCTGAAGCTTTTCTTTGTTCATTGTTAAGAACCTTTATTATTAGCAACCTGTATTTTTCTCCCTATATAGGAAAAAAGGTGTACAGGGATCTACCTATGGCTCATGGGAATCTCCCTGCTTCTTTTTTCTTTTTTTTTTTTTTTTTTTTTTTTTTTTTTTTTTTTTTTTTTTTTTTTTTTTTTTTTTTTTTTTTTTTTTTTTTTTTTTTTTTTTTTTTTTTTTTTTTTTTTTTTTTTTTTTTTTTTTTTTTTTTTTTTTTTTTTGTCTCTCCAGATCATTAAAGACCAGAAGCTACTGGTGATAGTTGGAGGGATGCTACTGATTGATCTTTGCATCCTGATTTGCTGGCAGGTTGTGGATCCTTTGAGGAGGACAGTGGAAAAATATAACATGGAGGTATGTCCTCAAGCCCAAGTAACACTTGTGGTTGCATATCAGTATCTACACCTTTCTGTAAGACCAAGCTAAAAATGTACTAGGTTATATGAAAGCAAATCAAACGATGTATTTTGGGGGAGGAATGGAAATTTCATAGGAGTGATATAACTGCAACCGAAAGAAATTGTGTCTGTAGTTGAAGGTGCCACATTTCTGTTACAAATCTGGGAGATTTTATTCAAAAGGGTTGTAAATACAGGAGAGTCCTCTGCTAAGGCTCTCTATTAGAGTCTGTTGCAATAAATAATAGATTATCAGAACCCATTAGTGGATTTCAGTAAGAGCTCATTCAAGATAAGTGCAGGAGAGGTCACTGCTTAGACTGCATTCTTTGAGGAGATGGACAGGAATTATGTTACCTACTGCTATGTTTATTTTTAGGAATTTTATATTCATACACCCATACTGATTGTTCGTATTTTAATGTCATTCCCGGAAAGGTCACACTTGTGATTTTGATAGGGAGGAAGTGATAGCTTAATGCCAACTGTACACATTTTCCAGCATTCTGATTGGTTTCTAGAAGTGGAACTGGAGTAGAGCTTTTTGGACAAACTGGCAGCAAGAAACAGGGTAGTAGCAATGCACAGCTAGGGGGAAAAAACACTGTCTGTATGTAGATTAGCAGTGTTGGAGAGTTTATTGCCTCCACTGTGGAAACTGGTGATTTCTGAAAACAAGGTCATACGAGGACAATCTAGAAGTGTTATTCTCTTCTCCAATACTTGCCAATCAGTAAGAAAAAGAATAGGAATTTTCTTGATTTTAACATTTGCAAGAGAAGATATGCTATTTTACTCCATTGCTTTTACTTTTTTCTTACTTTGCAGTGTAGCTCTGGAATTTTATTAGAAGAAGATTTTAATTTTTATTTGAATGCAATTTGTAGAAATTAACTTAGAGCAATGCCTCCTAAACTGCAAGGGTTGCCTTTCAATAAATCATTTTAGAGTCTGAAAAGATATGTCTCAGTCATTCCCTAGAGTTTGAAATTTTTTTAATGACTTCACAATTAATATGGTTTTCAATAAAAAATGGAAAATGTAACTGAAATTTGTCTTGTGGAGATGCTTCTGCTTTATGTGTGTATAGCTTGAAGCCATAGCAGATTGTTCAGAGCCTTGTTTACATCATTTTGTTCTGACTGTATTGCAGCTGATTTTTCAATTGTCAGTATTAACAATTTCTCTGCTCAACTAAAAACAAACATGAAAAATAGTCACAAAATCCAACTGAAATAATGCTCATTTAGAAGGAATTTTATTTTCTACTGTAGTATAACTAAAGATCCTGATATCTAGTCTTACTAGAATCACTTAAATGAAATGTCCATAGATAGCAGCAGTAACTGTGAAGTTATCAAACCATAAATACCATATATCTGAGAAATAATGTTTACTGCAGTTTTAAATTATTGCAATTTCCATCTGAACTTTTCAGTGTATATTCCTTGATCATGTAATGTATAACACTAAAAAGTTAGTGCAATTGTTCCGTGTTTGGGGCTGACTAGACCATGGGGCTGCACACCAGTTACCTGAACTTTGTAACAGAACTAAAATTCTCTGGGAACTATGTAATCCCATGCGAAGTCACGTTCAGGGAATGCGCACATGAGAATGTTTAATATTTTGAGCACTCAGCATAGCATTGACTTGAACATACTGTTAAAGCTCTTAGCTATTACTAGAAGTTGTGCAGAATGTTTTTTAAGCTACTGGATTTGGGGTGGGAAGGAAATAAAAGTATTATGCGAGCAAGTCATTAAAATATTGTATGTGCATAAAATATGTTTATTATATAAGCCGTGAGGTGAACTGCAATTTGCTTTCCTGAAGCACACCTCTTCAGGTCTAAAAAACTCCTTAGTAGAAGCAAATAACAAATGCTTTTGCTGCTATTATTATTATACTATAATATAATTATTATAATATCATATAAATAAATTCTAAGTGCAAGGGTCAATTATGTAGTTGAGTTTGACTGTGCAGGTATTATCTTTTCTGCGTTCGAAAAGTGCTTACCACATAGTAAACACTACTGGAGGCAAGTTTCTGTTTTATTTCAGGAATATTGTGTAATATATATTCCTTGCCCCACTTTTCTCTATGAAATAATTTCAAAGGGATTATTTCCCCCAATTAAAGCTAATCCAAGTGATAAAGACTAAGCTAAGTGTAGGCTCCAAAGTTATGAATGCAATCAGTCATTCTAGCTAATGAACCATTTGAGTGCTGTTTATGAGTACCCACTGGCTTCCTACATGATAGTTCTGCCTTTTACCTACTATCGGGTGGTCCTTTCTTAGTTGTGTCTTCATAAACATGTCAATCAAAGTAACCAAGACAAGAAGCCTAAAAACTGACAGTGTCCTTTGCTGTTTGCCATTATTCACAAAATAGTTTGTTTGCGTGAATGAACTGCAGTAAATTATCAAGAACTTTTTAAAATTTCTTTAATCCAGAATGTAAAAATCCATACTCCTTTTCTGGAGTAGTTTGCAAAGTCCAAGTAATCCGTGCTTAAAAGCCAAGGATAGGCAGTGTAAATCTGATAATACAAAGGGAAGTGAAGGCTTTTGTGGAGACTTTCTGGCTCTTGCAGAAGGTAAAAGTCATATGGGATGTTGGGTCTGTCAGTTTTCAGACTTGTCTCTGCTACCCTGACCCCAGATATATGGTTTCTTTATGAAAAACACATCTGTGGCTGCCATAAGACACCATGTGAAAAGTTTTAATGACTGAGCCACAAAACATTCAGATCCTCCAGTCAGCAGTAGGGTGGGTAGTTTATGGTATATGATATATAGACAATAAAATTGTTGGATAAAAGCAAACAGGTTAAAGATCAGGCACAAAAAGGTAACATTTCCATGGCTATATGTTGATCTCCTGAAGAAGAACTGTAAGGTTACCCCTAAGTACATTTCATAGAGTGCTGTAGGCTTGATTTTCACAGAAAAGTTTGCTGACAAAAAATGCTTCTCAACTTCAAGCAGCAGTGCAAAAAATGGTAATTAATCCATAATATTACCCCTATTCATCTGTTTTGCTAGTTGCACTGGCTGTAACATTTCTCCTTTTTCTAATTTTTCGGACCAGTGGAGAGACCAACCGCTTTTTTTTTCTCAGTAGGTTCTTCCTAGCCTGAACTAGGAATTTGCTTTTTTCATCATAATTCACCCTTTTTTTTGCCATAATCAAAATGCTCTGCGGTTATGATCAGATCTCAACTAGGTTCCTGCCAGACTAGGTTTCTTCTAGTCATATGAACTGGAGTGTATCCTTCCTCTCTGTCTTGCTGTCTGGGTTCTTGGACTCGATGGCCCATGAGGAATTACAGTGCTACTATGTATGCAACTGTGCAAGAACTTTGCCCGGGTAGCAAGGCTTTACCATCTTTTCCCAACCATCTGGATCTTGTCCTGGCTTCTTAAGAAGGCCATGCTTATGTGCAAGGGTGCTCTGTCTGGTTTTCTCTTACTGCCTAATAAATTTTGCCTGTTTCAGTCAAATCTGACAGTTTTGAGCAGATACAGCTTTTAAGGACATAGCACTGCAACAGATTTGATGGAAACAACCAGCTGTGTGGAGGAGAAATTCTAGTAGTGTCTCCCCTAAGGGAAGGGTCACAGAGTGAGTTTATCCCTTTGTCTAAAACCAGACATTTTAAATGACCCAATTCAGGGGAGCTTCACTCTTAGAAGAAGAGAATCCAGCCACAAGACAAAAAATAGTTAGGAAACCAGCTTGCTCTAATTTCAATTGCTCAGCTGCACTGGACTGAAACCACAGTCTGAAATAGCAGAATCCTTCACAAAGTGGAGTCTGTGCAATAGCCATATCATAATTCATTCAGGTACTTAGTACAGTTCAAGGGGTCTGTGTGTAGACATACAGGCACACTCACCTCTTGCTCATAATACAGTGCTGTAATAACTCTTTTACTCTACAGTTTAGTTTGAAAGCCTTTGACTGGCTTATCTTCTCCCAACACAAATATCTATGAAACAGATTGAATCTCTGTGGCCATGGGAGATAGAAAATGGTAGCATTTAATAAATAATAACTTGTATACCAGGGGAGATGGACTAGATTTTGTAACTCCCGAGGTAAAAAGATCTTGCATTAGTGTTAGATTCAATAAAAGTAGTACCTTGCACACTGGATTCTACAATACGTTTTGAAGAATTTTAAAACCTGTTAGTCCAGTGCAGCAGCCTTTCCCTTCCTTGACATCTTAGTACCAATTATGGAGTTATCTCTGCACTTTTCCTGTTATGCATTCTTATGACAACAATATTAAATTTAAAAGTTAACTTCATTCTGGTATCTAGAATTTAATGTTTCTAGTATTTAATGTTTCACACTGGATTGTCCTGGAATGGTAATAAATGTGAAATGAAGAATAAGTGTCACTTTAGAAGACATGAAGGAGAAAGAGAGATCAATGGAACCCATCCTATTTGGGCTTCTGGCATTGATATGGAAGCAAAGTGAGGAGACTAAGAATACCCAGCCTTATATGAGGACATTGCAATAACAAAAATGCCAATATGCAGGAAAGATTGAGTATGCCAAGCCAGCATCAGAGTAGTGCAGTATGTTAAAGAAAAATCAATTCAAATTACCATATTAATAATTTCTGTGAGTGAGACAGAATTCCTGTGCATTCCAAGTGTATAACTATGCTGTTGGATACATATTACTAACCAACAAGCTAGAAGGGCAGCTTTGACTGATAAGTTGAGGGAGTCATAAACATCGCAGAAATAAAAAAATGTCTATGTAAACTAGACAAATGTGCTGCTCAAACTAACTCATTTGGTAACTGTTTTGTAATTCAACAGATTAGAGGACCCATAGACAGAGAATTAACCCTTTATGTCATTCTGAATAGCATACAGAATACGTTCCAGTGTCTTGGTATCCGAAGGAGTTTTCTGTAGCTGCAAATAT